CCAAAATTATTGTATTTTTTCTATTTTATGTTCTTTGGGTTTTTGTAGTCTCGCAGCAAAAATTGTGGGAGTTACAAAAAATGACGGCTAGGTCAATACTGCTTTATAAAATATAAAATGCTAAACATGGTTGATCAAACAAATTAAGAGTAGGTGTCAATAATATTATTTGTTACACTCCAATACAATATATCAACATTATTTTTATGTTATAAAGCAATAATGTCATCAATGTTATAAAGTAATGTGTTGTAAAAAGCAACTATCTTTCAATTTTGTTAATGCCAGTGCGATTTTTGCTCAAGACAACAAATTCCAAGATAACAAATACTAATTGATACAAAATAATTTACCATGTTACATAATTTTAAAAGACATATTCTAATTCAAGCAAATACCAATAAATTTACCAGTAATGGTTGCGCTAAATTTATATGGAGGGAGCAAAAATCATTAAAAAACTATCAAGCAAGACTTTCGATTTTATTTAAAGTAACTTAATTTGCTTTTAAAAATCATTTAGACCATTTATTTTGTATCATTGCAGAATCAGCTAAAATCTTAAAAGATTTTATTTTCAAATTATAACAAGAAATTAACAGGTCCGGGTTTTAAAGATACATATGTGTGAGGGAGTTTTATTGTTTTGATTTTGTTTCTTTACATTTGTTTCTCCGTTAAGTTTCTAAGTTTTCTCCCAATAATGGTTTCCAGAACCTCCCCAGTACGCTCCTGGGACCCGCCCCTTTGGTCAACCCTTGGTTCTTGGAGGAAGTCAAGAAAACGGGAACCTCGACGGGATGCCCTCACCATCCAACTCCAAAAAAGGCTCAAATAAAAATCGATGATATATGTAATATTTTGTACACGATGATAATTGTGTTATTTTTGCCGGTTGCTTTTTCGTATAAACAATTATATCATATGTAAAATAATATAAAAAATTACAATTAGGATTTTTAAATCATGGGATTGAATCTAAGATGAAGAGATCTACCGGTTTTGTTCAAAAATCTTTTTTTTTTTTCATTTTGAAGCTCTCATTGAAACATTATATGATACTACAACTGCTACTGTGTTATTCTTAAGGGCATACGCTGTATATAGATTTTTGTATACATATTTCCTTATGTGCCATGGAATATTTATTTTATTTTAATAAATTTATATGATAAATGGTGGAAGGTTGACCTAAGAATTTGCTAGACGTTGTTTTATAAGTACCTGCAGAAAGTTACACTTCTTTAAAATATGTATTTATCAACAGTTAAAGATTATGCTGCATCGATATGTAAGTTCTTTACAGATTTTCTTTTTAAGCTCTACATACGTATTTTAAACGGTTAATTTTGTTTTGAAAAATGATATGCTCCATTTGGTTTTCATATAGATGGTTTCTAGTCTCGCCCGCTATGTTGGAGATTTTCTAGAGTGCATTCCCAATTGCTCAGTATCTTCATATTCCTACTTTGTATTATTAATTTAGTAAAATTCCGAAATGCCTTCCGTTATGTATGCTATTGTATTTTAAAGATGTATAAGTATGATCTTCTTTTAGACGGGGAGTTAAATCGTTTTTACCCTCTTTATAAAAATGTATTTTTGGCGATTACTTTTTTTACTTTGTTCCACACAAAGATTTTGTCAAAAACCTGCATTAAGTTGTTTTATCAATGAAATAAAGTATTTAATAACTTGTATCAATCGCCAAAACATTATCGAGTGAAAATTATCATGTATATTGTTTTCACGGTTATTTATATACGAGTACATTCTACTTGAGCTTAACCTTATTTTTTCGGAATAAACTGTTTCATCAAACAAATTATGTTCATTGTAACAATAATTCATTTTAAAGACTATAATACAATACCGTGTATTTAAATATTGTGTTGTACGTTGTTTTACAATTCTAAATATATATTTAAAAAACTGTTTGTTACTAAAAATCCATTACTGAAACTGGTTTAGCTACAGAACTAGTTTTTAAGACGATTAAACTTAATTTATTCCACCTTCTAAATTGAAAATAAAAACATATACATGAACTGAAAATCGTACTAAATGTTTGCAAAATGTATATGTACTATAATACAACTAAGTTTATATTAGTTATTGTTAAATAACAGTATATTTTGTTTTGATAAAATGCATTTTTATTTCACAAGGAGGTCCCTCGTATTTCCTCGTATTATTTAAAGTAGCCTAATTTATTTGGCTATGTTTAAAGTAGGTCTAAACAATTGTTGGACCAAAGGTCAATCATATTGATTTAGAGAATTGCTTTATTAAGAATCATCAATAACAATTATTGATACACACTCTTTATACTATTTATTAGTTTTTTAATGTAATTGAATGGTATTTTAGTATTTCATATCTGAATCACTAATATCATTTTCAGATCATTAGAATTTCAGAAACAATACAAATGGCGCAGATTTTACATATAATTACATTTATTCCAAATAAAGGCTTAGTTTCATGTGTTATATTAAAAGCAGCAAATTATGTTGATAGGTTGATAACATAAAAGGGGGTTTTAAGAGTTTTTTTTTTTTACATCCCGATGTTTTATAAAAGGAAATAAAATATTCCATTTTTATGCATTCTTTCACCGCACTTAAAAAAATTATATCGACTAGGGTATTTTAATTTTTTTATGAAAATTGTTTATCCTAAAAATTTTAGCTATTTTAAGCTGTTTACTGAAACCAGGTAATTTTTATTTTTCGCTTTGCCACCTTTTTTTAACAATGTGTATTTCCATCCATTTTCACTACTCTTTTTATATTTGACAATGTGACTAAACAATTGATTAACAATTTGTTCTTTGATGTTGTGATTTTCAATTTGATTTTTCCTTCAAATACATTTTACGAGTAGATCACTTTAAGTTCGCCGATAGATCTTATTTTTGTTTACTCCCTCTTCAAATAAACTAACAATTCACTACTTCACAAATAACTTAATAGGCCTACGTAAATAGATGTAGTAGCCTAATAGACAAACCACGTAATAGACAAAACATTACATTATCTTTGATTTTTTTAAATTTTTGTTTTACTTTACCTTTGAGTAATATACATTTCTCGCTATATATCATGTTATCAGCACTAATATAAACAACACATCAGCTATATATTAAATAATAAACTCAAAACTATTCTAAGGGGAGGTAGAATAGATATAACTAAAAATTGGTATTAAAAACTAATATTGATTTCAGCTTAAAGAGAACAACAAGTTTCTACTCTAGCACTATTTCTGTGATTTTGTTTTTACCGAGATAGTTAAAAAGCTAAATGCAGTACGTTGTCTCAAATTCTAATTCATACATTTAATGTACATTTTTGTGTGATTTTCCAAACATTGGCAACTTCCTTATTTTATCGTAAATTAAATAAATAAAAAAACACACCGTTGTGATTTCTCAAAGCGGCCAACCTAATTATTAATTGAGCTTATGGTTATCAATGTTGGTGTAAATTAGATTTTAAGGTTTGCTACAACAGGAATATTTGCCTTTTATCTATTTTGCATGCTTCAATATCCTGTATGTGACATAGCAGTTGACGAAGTTAGATCTATACAGTTGTGTTCTATTAAACGCATTTTTCTTGAAAGCTTAATGCTGTTTTAATGGTATAATGCTATTTCTACATGCCTGATTTATTTTTAATTAGGTGATTTTTTATGATGATTTTTTTAATGGATTATGCAGTAAAAATTTCAAGAGCAATGAATATAAAATTGATCTAGGAGATGATAATTTCGATTGATTTTGAATCTCATACACATGTATGAAAATCAAAATTAAGCCTAACAAAAGTAAAAATCCATCCGGTAAATTATTGGTTTAAAAGAACGAGTTTAATCAAATTAATATCTAACTACGACTAAATTCTATAATTATAATTGCACTACATAAATGATTAAAAAGAAGAAAGACACAAAAATAACCTATGTTTATCTCTTTTTAATATTTTGTTTGCAGAATAATTAAGGATTGGTTATGACTAAAACCTTTTTCAAAAATATATTTACATCATTTAGTTAACCTTTGTAATGCATGTAAGCTTGCATGTTAATGTGCCTTAAAGTCATGATTAATAAAAAGCTTTTTACAAATTAGTGTGTAGTGCCAAATTTGTTAAGTATATCAAGATTCACTAGATCCTAATAGTGGTTGAGTTAGGGTATAACATTTTTGCTACCATGAATTGGTAACCAATTTTGAGATATTCTCAATTAGGTACTGAATCATGCTTAAACTGAGATCCTTTGACACATCCTTTTAATATCCTCCTGAATATGTTGTCTACTTTCTTAACTTTAATAAAAATTCTAATTACCATTTGCTTTAACACAGTGATATTTTTTAATAGTGTGTGAAATAATTATATATGTATAATAAGTCAATGGCTTAGGAATACAATATTGATCACGATACAATTTATAGTTCAACTGTTTATTTTTCTAAGATTTTTTAATAATTTTCAATAAGTTATACCTAGTTGTATAAAAAATATAATCCTGGTATAGATTTTATTTTATTTTATAAAATAATTAATGCATTTTGTAATTTATTAGTTTGGTCTGGAAAATATTTGACTGCCCAATATGTGGAAAGAGAATTACATTGTAGTCAATCTTAGCAAAAGAAAACTTATTTGAAGGTAATAAGCCAGTTGTTTTATTGAGTTTGTTAATTTATTACTTTACTTATATTTACTGAGATATGGGAACATACACAATCTAACTTATTTTTTTTTAAGACACCCAAGAATCTAAGGGCACATTTTAAAACTCATAGTTTGTTTAAAAGTGAAGAGTATGAAAATGTTGAATGATATCATTGTTACCATAACTATCTATGCTGCAAGTTAGTAGTTTAGAGTGCTCTTTATGTGAATATTTCCTTATGTGGCAATGCTGTAAATTGGGCCAAATGAGGTAGTGAAGTGCCATTGTTGTTTACTAACATAGAATTACAATAGGTTCGACGATATCTGGGACATACAGCAGTGCCACGACACCAACGGAGCCCCAAATGAACTCTCCTATCATACAGACTGGTCTGTAGTCACCCCTAGACTAGCGTAGAGCCCCTAGAATAGACTCCCCTAGGTCACATTGGTGTCTAACCTTACACATCAACAAGAGTCGGATTGTCATTTGATTGATTACTGTGCACATTTTCCATTACGGTTGGTAAAAAATATTTTTGTGGAGTTTTGGGATCTGGAATATGGTCCCTAGCATAAGAAAGTACCTAAAGCATAACAATTGTAGAACACAACTCAACCAAGGTGGTGAACACAAGAGAAAAGCCACACATATAGTTGGATAGTATAGTCTAAACAAGGGAAAAATTCATTATATAAAACACTAGGAACTAATAGTACAAATAATGGTGGTAGGTAACATAATGGACACATCTGCTAAATATGAGGGTAGCGTTATGGTGAATCTTGCTTGAGCTAGTTTCTTGGTACAGATATGTACATTGTTCATTTACCCTCCTCAGGGCCGTTTTAATAAAATGGCCCGGTGGGCCCGGACCTAGGAGCTTCCTCAAGAGGATTAAGGTTTGTTGGGGGTGCAAGGAAGATAATCTACCCCAAAGAGAAGCGTTTGGGGAAGTGGTTGAGGAGGGGCACAATCATATCTTGGGCCCATAGCATATCACACCGGTAATCATTACAATAATTGTTATTTTCTTTTGGGATTGGTTGTTTCTTGTTATGACTACTGCAGTTCTCTGTGAGGTATTTATTTTGGGATTTTTTAGGTTTGGCTGGGCGGATACTAATCTTGTTATATTTTCAGCTTATTCTTAGCTGAAGATGGTATCATATTTTATTATGACATGAAATCTCTCTATCTATACTTGGAAAGTGTTCACAATAATCTTTCAAACAATCCAACTTTACAATCACCAAAAATGAACTTTAAACACAGAAGTACATGTAGTTGTATTGAATGTTGAACTGTTCATCATAATTGTAACAGATAGTGGTAAAAGAAGCGTTGGATTTGTCTTGAAGAAGAAAAACAGCACAAATAATACTGGCCAAATAAGGAATATATCGCAGGTTTATAATCAACTTGATATTATTTTTACGTAAGTAGATTTTGAAACGGTTTTATCGGGTGTTGATAAAGTTTTTGCTTTGGCGCAATTGGAAGTGCATTTTTTTATGAACCTTGAAAATTCATCATTTTGTATGTTAACCAGTTTGTGTAATCGTTTGTGCTTGCATGTTTGCCTCTTGGTTGTATTTGCTCAAAGAATGCTTTATTTTGCCTTCCCACTCCAGTAAATCTGTAAACTATAGAACTAAAAACATGTGATTCATTTGTGAACAAAGCTGCGTCATTTGCCCTTTGATTCATATTTTCAACGTATATTGTTTTGACTTAGATAAATAAAAAAACCTAGTAAAATTTATAAAAGTATAATTGGTTAGCTTAAAAATTATTTGTAATATTGTAACCCACTTTTGAATTACATAGGCCTAGTTTAATGGTTTATTAAATTTTTCAAAAATGTGTTTTTTTTACATTAAGACTGTTGTTTCCTAAAACCTTTATTAGGCATATTTATTTCATCTTATAGGTTTGCAAACAGCTTTTCCAGAAACTGTTTCCTATGATTAATATCAGAGAATATATTTTTCTTCTTGTACTATTTTTTCATACAAACAACACATCTAACTAGGGTAGAGTGTTTAGCAAAATCGTTCTACACCGATTTAAAAATTGACATAACTTATATTGTATCCTACCACTTACAGGTTCAAAATATGAAAAAAACCTTTAAAAACCCTGTAGTAGAAGTTTGTCCAATAACATGCAAAGAAATGCAATTAGCTAGTTCAACTTCAAAATGTCTACCAATTACTGAAATGCTAGTATAATCCTTTTCCGCAACCTTGCAGCAAACGCAAGGCGGTTTTGAGTGGCTTGCGTAGTAAGTAGTGTGATTGTTCCACAGCCCCTCACAGTCCACGGAGGCAGAAGTTGAATCTCCGCATGAAAAGTCTGTCTCTTGACTCCCCCGAGAGTAGTGAGGTGGTACAGAGGCGCCGCGGGGGCCCCCCACCATCAGCATCGGCCAATGGGGGCCCTACCTCCAGCCACTCGTCATCATCTCGCTTACAATGTAACATAACTATCTACATAACACTACCCTGTCTACATAGCACTAAACCAGCTCACTTGGGGAAGCAGATAAGAAACAATTGTTTGTGAAATGAATATTTAAAATGACCTTTAATACTCTGTTTATTAATTAAACAGTTTCAAACCAAAAGGTTCATTTCCAAGCTGAATACCAAGTTTGTTTAAAGAGGAACCTCTTTAAGAGTCTCGAAGAGTCGTCACAAACTCATACACATATAATATCAAAGGGATATGAAAGCATTAACAAAAAAATGTCCTTAATTATTTTATTGATTCATATTTTATAAGTGGCCCTTTAACTAAAAAAACTTATCCCCCCCTCCACACTATTATAGATGCTTTTAGGGGTTTATTATTCGAGTGGACCAGAAGCTAAACAAGTTTAAACTTTTGGAGTAATTCTTTTCTTTGTGTATCTATATGTATTTAATTTTGAATTTTACATTTTTTTAATGTCTATCCAGTAAACTCTCACAGCTTTTTTAGGATATTTTTTATCATAACCATTGTACTTTTATTGTACATTTATGTGTTAGTGATGGAGTGGTAGAAACATGTTCTCAAACTAAAAGTTTTTGTCCTCACTTGAGGTGGTTTTTTGCTGTACAGTAGTCACCACCCAAACACTCCTCATTTTATACAATGCACATAAACTTCTTAATTAACTCACTTTTGGAAAGAAAAGAACAATAGCAAAAGTATGCTCATTTGTATATTTAGCCATTTTTTTCACCATGATAGTCATATAATGTACATAATCATTAAGTTTAGTATTTACCTAATTATTTGTATACAATCAGGAGGTAAATTTTATAATTCCGTAGGGAAAATTTTTCAGTGAAAACTCCAATATGATTTTTGAGGTGAGTATTTATGATTTAACAATCCATTTGTTATTTGATATTTGATAGTTGTAAGTTGTTTTACCATTTAATACTTTTTAGGAAGTTACAGTTTCTTTTATTTGTCTGTTTTACGACAATTTTTGTAAAAGATTCATCGCATAAACTTATAACCAAGATTGACTGTTGAATTTTAACACAGCATTGTTTTATTTTAATTTCAAATTTCCAGGAATCTGCATGGATTTGGCACATTGGGACAACCTATCAACATGCTCTTTGCTGTGCTTAAATTAATATTGTTGTATATCAGAGGATCAGAGTGAATGATTTGCATGCACATTTATGTTGTCAAACAAAAGATGTCAACTTTGTCATAAATGGTGTGATACAATTGTGCATTTCAGCATTTCTTGGGGCCTGAGGAGGAGAAAGAGGCAGACAAACTTCTACATAGATAATATTTTTTAGAATTTTCTTTTAAATGGTCAACTTTCCATTTTGCCAAAATTGACTTCTGCATCCCCGTTGGCAGTGATAAAACACTTGGATATAATTGGATATAAGTATTAAAACAAAGAAAGCTCAATTATTAGTGTGCTTTCCAGTGTTTTTCTTTGGAACATTTCCATCAAAAGGGAAATCGTTTACAGTGTATAATTTTATGAATCTAATCAACAAATTTTGGATTTCCAGGTTATCGAACATTGTTAAAATGAGTTTTAATCAACATATGTTTTTAACATTGGTAGCAAGTTAACCAGCATGAGAGCCTAATGCTTTTTATGTTGGTATGATGTGCAGTATCATTGTTTGATGCTGAAAGTGACACATATCCTCAAGATGGCTTCTGCATGGGAAGACGCAGACGCAGACCCATCTTTGTTCATAGCAGTCATTGCTGGTCAAGTACGAAACAAACTAAACTAGAATACAAACACAATCAACTAGACATTCTGAGTGCTTAGTTTCCACATTATATAGTTTTAGTAGGTAAACCTTAGCCTCACACTTTTTGATCATTGATTTTCAATTTTAGACCATCTTCTAGTATAAATCTTCACATATAAAAATTGTTAAATTACAATAAAGAAATATTGAACTCATAGCTTTATATATTTATTAAAGTAAAAATATTACTAGTAAAGTACAACTCTAAATAGTTTCAAACTGAAAATGTCATAAAACGATACCCCACCTAATAAATATTTTCATTAAATATTATTTCAGAATAGTGATGGATAGTGAAAAATTAGAAAACACTTTCTAATCCACCTGTATTTGAACATGTTATTACAGAACCTCTAGTAATATCTAAAAACTGCCAACTTAAAAATACTCAGAACCACTAGTAGTCATTTTCAAAAACTTCAGTATCAGTTGATGATTTTTTTAAAGAAAGGAAGTTTTAGATTCGCCGGTGTAAAAACGATGAACGTAACATTATTAGTTTCCAACAATGTACAGACTACTTTTTAAATTCACATGGAAGTGGTTGCAAACATTGCCATAGCTGCCAACAAAATCATATAGATTTTACAATTAAAAAAAAACACTACTTTCACAATAGTAAAATGTTTAAGTTTAAATATTGATAAAGATGTTGAATGCTTTATTTAACAGCTACCAAAATCAAAACCATTGTATAAATTAGTTTTTTTTTCCAGTACCAGTAACTGAAGTAAGGGTGTGAACTTAAAATCTACCTATATTCAAAAAAATACAAGGCTTTAAAAAAATACTAAAAACATTAAAAACTATTACTATATATACAATATTAAATCATCAATATTTCAACCCAAACAAATACAGTAGTAAACAATATTTGTCACCGACACAAAATAGTTCTTCACTGTACAAAAATCATAAATTTAACATTCTTCTTATGTTCCCCATTTAGTAAAATGAGGATATTCATTATTCATTCCTAAGTCAATTTTAGTACTGTTTTGTTTTTGAAATGTAGAACAATTTATCACAACTTCATACTGTGTTGTTTGGAGTACCACTCAATTTTATGTTTGTGTGACTTATGTTTTGATGTGTAGGTGCAGTAGTGAGCAGTCTTCAGCGTGACCATCTTCAAAAAGGATCATTGTTTTCATAGTTGAACATATTTTTATATTAGTTACACCATTCTCATTTATGTCAATATTCTAGATCCTCATGCATATTTTAATGGTTCGGTAATTTGGATTAGAATTTTGCCTTTATATATTTAAGGACTAGTTTTTTGTCTGAATATTTGCCTCTACATTTACTTTGGTTTTTAGTTTGAACTGCTGAAATGTAATCAAATTATAGTTTATTTTGTTTGAAATAACTCAACTAATTGATTGAACTACTATTTAAGCAAAAAAATTAGCTTTGACTCTATAAAGGGTGTTTTGTCAGGTGATTTGGTTTTTGTGACGACCAAGAAGGGTTTTGAACCTAAAGGTCGATTTTAAACTTGAATACCATTATACCATAGGCTTTAATGAATCATGTGTTTGACCCTGGAGTTGTTATAACCACATATTCATTCAATAAACCTATATATTTGTAATAATTGTGACGCATTTTGATTATTTTTCAACTTGCAGCTCCGTCCAGTCCAGTCCACAATCGGAGACTGCTGTCAGCTCGTAATATGAGGATGAGCAGTGTAGAACTACCAGACGACAATGAGAAATCATTATCATCAGCAAGTACATCGCCTTGCCCGTCACCGGTCAGTCAACAATCAACTTAGCGAATAACATAATATACATAGAGTTGTGCATGGTAGTTGTGAACTGTGGGTTGAAATGTACAGGAGAACTCCATATATTCACGATAATTAATCATAAAAACATACAATATCTGACCAAAGAAGCAAAAGAAAGGGAATTTTGTGAATTCATTAATTTTCAAAGAGGCGAATGCAATACTTGAGGTACAATTTGAATTCATGTGACTTTTTAACACATAGAAAAGCCTTTTCATGTCTGAAACCCAATTAGAAGCGTCATGGAGGGATTTGAAGAGCTAGTTTTTCAATGATGTAATGGGGATGTGTTACTATTACATTTTAATCTGACATTGCCATAGCAATAATGGCCAACACTGAACCCAGTAAACTACAAAGGCTGATATATTGGCCATCAAGAATGACATTCAAGCAAACCTTCACTTACAACAACCGTCCAAGCAATACCCAACAACAGTTGATGGCTGCAATATCATATTTCAGCTTTGGGTAAATCAGTGATCTTAGTACAATAGACAATATAGAATCAAAGGCCAAGTGGTTTAAGGTTAATGCGTTCAAAATTCATGTTTCTGGCTCCTGGACTATATTGTTAAGACAATAATAGGTTTTTAAATACCGTCAAATAGTCCACCGATTAATAATGTTCATCAGCTAACATGTTTTGTTGCGAAGACAACATTTTCAAAACTTGCAACTCGTCAAAAACACAATTAAACATGGACAACACGAACACAAAAAACATTAACACGGTAGGAATACAGAACAAAAATTTAGATAGCGCTATCATAATACTGATACTAACCCCGCTCTGCGCGGGACTAAATCAGTAGCGCTAGTTCACCTCATTTGCTGCATAAATCAAAACTACACATTTCCAGAGTGCTGGTGCTGGTTTTAAAATTCAACGTGGACAGTATTATTAATACACCTAATATTCAACCATGATTGTACATAAAGACTGGTCTTCAAGCAAGAAAGTTCTAAGCTACAAAGACAGCTATGTTTACAGCGTGTTATATGTTGAAACAAACTCATCTCTTAAGCTGGGTTTTCCTAGGCGCGTAGTCGGCCAGCGGAGAGCGGAATTGAAATTAACATGGCATTCCGCTCCGCTGCTAGGAAAACAGTAACATTAAATTACCTAAGACAAGCTGAGTCCGCTCTCCGCGTTCCTCTCTCCGCTGGCCGACTACGCGCCTAGGAAAACCCAGCTTTACGTTGAGCTGAATTAATTAATACAATGTAATGTTGTTTCAGAAGCCACATCGTCTGTTGCCGACCAACTTGTACGTCGTGTTATACAACTTCAAGTCTCGGCATGCAGATGAACTTGATCTCAAGTAAGTGAGATTAAAGAGATGCTCAAATTAGTTTCCGTACATGAGGCTAGCCGAAAATATTTCAAAGTGTAGAATTATTTTTATGGATTAAAATGATCATTAACAATAATGATAAAGGTGTATTACAATACAATCTACAAACCAACACCACATGGATGAAGGTTATAAAACATAGTACACTTGTTGGTCAAGAGTATAAATTCTCTGTTTGGCTGACAGTTTTGAAATACCTCAGACCTGTTTACCTGTCCGTTAAGCTAGGTTTACACTAGCATGTAGCACTGTGTTTACTGGCTTCATAGTGACGCCAAAAATATACCGTGTAAACCATAAATGATGCACCATTGTTAGTGGAGTACTGGAGTGGTGCTCCATCAGGAGTGACGCAACTAATATATGTTTGACATAAATAGTGGCGTCAGTAGCAATGATCCACCATCTGTACTGACGCATCACTTCCTGTGGCCCGTGTAAACCACAGCACCAGTGCTAGTGACGGAGGCTGACGTCTAGCACCTGTGTCACTTGTATTAACTAGCCGGATCTCTGTGTTGATAAGTATATATCTTTGTGAATGTTTATATAACAAATTAAATTCAAAGAAATGAAATGTTTGTTACGGTGTCATGGCAGAAACCGAAGCTGGACAGGTGATGGAGGAACTGATAGTGATGAATTCGATACTGGTCAGAATAAATACACAGTGTTATGAATAAAAGAATCAAAGGGAAAGGTTAAGAATCCGAGTAAGCAGAAGAATGTACCTCAGTTAGAAATGACAGAAAAGGTAGAAGGTAAAAAGAAGGAAGAGAGATGGAAGCCGGCCGAGATCGACCGATTTCTCAGATTGTTTGAACTTTTTCCCTGCTTATGGGATTACAAAGTCCCTAAATATAAAGATTGAAATGCAAAAGTACGCCATTAATCCCTTTTAATGCCCCTGCATGGCTAGAACTATCACTTTTGTGTGTAAGCCTCTACTCTAGTGGCGTATGACACTAAAACTGTCGCGATTTAGTGGCTCCACTGCTACATGCTAGTGTAAACATAGCTTTTTAGTAATACAGTTAAGGATGGACCCAAACAGAAAGTACAAACAGAAAGGATAAAATGTTCATAGTATGGAATGATGGCCTATATCATTAAAAACTTTAAAAATGTAATACAAGAATTTTTACGATAGGTATACCGGTACTGATGCATACCTGTGTATACGGTACTGTAGTGTTTTTTTACTTGATGGTTGGGATAAAAATCTCTAACTTTCTTTGTTCAATCAACAACAAAATCAGGAGTTTCTTATTTTGGTTTATAATTCAAAAATCAAATTATCTTGGTTAACATTTCATCAAAAAGAACATTTTTTTTTATTTAAGAGTTGTGTATAATTAGGTATATAGTTCAGGTAAAATTGTCAGTTTAGAAGCATGAAATGCGTATCCACATATCTCCCTAACCCTGATTTTCGTTTTAATAATGGGTTTCTCTGATAGGATTTTTGTATAAAATGTGTTTTCAGTTCATGATATCATGCTAACTGTTTCATAGGCTTTGTTTATTTTTTTTCATTTGCACAATCCAGAAATATTGTGCTACTTATATCTCTAATCAGATCAACAAGTAGTATTACCTTTTTGACAATCGGAAATTGTATCTGTTTACCCAAAATTATTGTCTGGATATTCACTTATTTTATGTCATTCACCTGTAGAAGAACTTAATAGAGTTGAGTGTAACATGTGTAAGTAGTATCACAATATATTTGTTTTCGCAGAGCCGGTTACAAAGTAACAGTTATAGACACGTCAGACCAGGATTGGTGGAAAGGCAAGTGTCTGGGCAGGATTGGTTACTTTCCCTCCAAATATGTGACCAAGCTGGGCGTAGGTGAGAAGCCACTTCAGGTCACGCACAACCTGCAAGTCTCCGATGGTGACAACGGACTGACGTTACTCAGGGATCAGGTGGGTCGAACAAAACCAAAACAAATGTTATTGTTCTTTGAGCTTACAGCTCTGATAGCTTTTTGTTTATAGCGCTACCCTGATGATGAGAATGGCATAAATGATTGTGTAGGTAGCTTTGTAACCAACAAAGGTCTGCTGTTTCTTCAGCAAGAAGCATTTGCTGTATTTCAGTCCACTGATAAAGGATCATCAAAAAGCTACTGAATTGCCATATCGAACACTCGAAGACTGAATTTCAATTCCACAAGCCACTAGAGAACTTTTAATTCGGTAACAATTTCAGTGTAAAAGCCTTATGGCTGCAGGAATAGCACAACACATTATAACTTTCCAAGCTTTAATTTCACATCATCAGCATAATTCTAATTTGTTAGATTTATAATCTATTTTCAATAATTGTTCGTTACTAATAACACGTACCATATTGTGATATTTAGAGTAATACTGTGTCAAATTAGAAGACAACATTTCAGCCTAGTAGAGCAGCATGGAGCACTACTGCTGTAGTGTGGTGTAATGGCCGGTTCATATGTAACATTCCGTACATGATGTAGTGTTCCCGAGTGTTCCGTACTGCTCAAAAGATGGCCAACTGCATCCGGTGGAAACCAGGTGGAAACATTTTCCCAAGTTACCTGTGATTGACACAGTTTTACCTTAAAGACTACGATATTAGTTAAGTCTCAAGTGTGACCATGAAAGTCTTCCTTTTAGTGTAACAAATGTGAATACTATTTGACAATCATTAATCCATTAAACATTCCAGATTGTGATTCAAATCGGGGAGGAGCTGGACGGAATGGTGGTGATCAGGAACGGAGACAACCGCCAAGGTGTATGTCCACTCAAGTTTCTACAGGAGGTGTGACAGCGGCACTCCTTGGACAAGGTGCAGTTTGAGGGGCCGACGTTCTACCCTCCGAAACAACCCTCCACGTCTCAGTTCAACTCCTCCACCCTGGTGACGCTGCAGTGTCAACTGAGCAAGGAAGATGGCTACATGACAAGAGGATTCCTCACCAGGAGAAAACTGGCCTCGTACCCACAAGCCAGGCGTGACCAGTACAAGACTGCTCCGGACCTGGTCCGATCCAGCATGTCTTGTGACGGGATACTGTACGGGTCCGAACACGAGGGGAAAGAAAATATCTTGGTAAGGGATAAAGTGAACCAAGCTGACAAAACGCCAGATGTTCTGAGGTTTGGGAACAACACTATAAATGCCGATAATCAGAAAATACTGAGGCGTAAAAGTCTGGCTAGAAATTTGATCCCTATATCATCCTCGACAAGACCACTGGGCTTACCGTCTTCGTGCTCCCCATCGCACTATCAAAGGAAACTATCCCGATTCCGCTACCGTAACATAAAAAATATCACTTCTCTCTCCCGACCTCTATTGATTGGTTGAATCGATCCGCGACACTCGATGTGTACTTTGATATTTTAACAAGATTGTGATCTAAGACAGGTTGATAATGTTGCCTTTAACGAATAAGTTGTTTACACGTTACTGGATGCTACATTAAAATATATAGCTCAGTTTTATTTTTTATACGACTATTAATTTAATCAAAATATACCTATTGCAGTTCGATACCTTGAGGAATTTACTAAAATAGACTATTTTACTTCAGAGAAAATAACTTTAGCCACTTCCATGAAGTGATTCATCGACGCAGTACATTTTATATATGAATATTCCTGCTAATATTTTAAATATCAATTTGTTTTTAATAACAGAAAAGTTAGCATTTATTTACTATAGTTTTATTGATTACCTGTATAGGATTTAAGTACTTAGATACAGTTAAAATGACTATCTTTAAAGTTTTGAACACATAAGCGTTTGATTCCAACTGGTTGCTTTGTATAATTCAATAATCACAATGTTCAAACAGGAATTGAATACTTTACCTTTGAACTACTTTAAAAAGTGTTTTACACCTACTGCATTCCAATAGAACAGCAGGTAAATTGTACATTTGAATTTTTAGGGTAACTTTAAGACAATTTTGGATTAATTAATAGCTTATTCAAACGAAATAGAGATTTATACTACTTCAGAGCTCAATCTTCTCAATAAGTGGTTACGGTATATGATCATAATTATCTAACTGACTTTGCCTATCTCTTATTATATACTTATAAATAAGAGTATCATACTATTTTTGAAAGAGTGATTTTTTATTACGTCAAGTTAGACTTGAAATTTACAATAATTTTTTGGGTCATAATTACAAATTATTGTCATAATAAAACATCAAATCTCAATAAAACGGAATTTTATTTTCTTATTCAGTAATCTTACTTTCTGCTGCTAACTTAATAAACTTAATACTGAAGTAGACACTTAACACTAATACTTAACACTAATACCGAAACCCTGGTCTGACAAGCCCACGGGAATTTTCACGAACGTATTATGGCAACACTGTTTACTTGGGAGATTCCATTCCCCCAATACCTTCCCCCCTTTTCCTCCCCTACCAATTGATATACTGTTTGTTCATTTTGCATGGGTGCCGTGACCTTGACAGGATGTCTTTTCATAACATGCCCGTCTCAGACGCCCAGCGTTAGTGTATTTTAAAGCGGGGTCTCACAGGCCGAAGGTTTCGGTTTGTGTGTATGTAAGCGGGGTCCATTATTTTTCAAATGGGGTCTCACAGACCGGGGGTTTCGGTTAACGTCAGCCTAGGTAGGGTTTCGGTATTAGTGTTAAATAAAATAAAAAAAAATAAATTTTGTACTCAAATATAACAGTGGAATGAGCCTGTCAAATTGCTACTGCTAACTGCTGTATAAGAAATAAACAGTAATTCATAGCTGAACACATTGTCATGTGTCAATGGTTAAGCTCTTTGCTTTCCAACCAAGCTACAACTCAAATAGGTAACTGTAACGTTTACTTCACAATATTTGAAAGCTTGAAATTATAAAAAATCCACAACAACTGCATGTTTCAAAATGTATCACAAAACTCAAAATTTATAACAGAATGTATGAAAAGATTCTCAATTGACAATCAGTTTCCAAAATAAAATACAAAGTTTGAATTGCACTCCAACCAAATTTCAGATAAGTTATAAAATCACCAAACCATATTCAAAAATGGTACAGATCTTAAATCGGAGAAACTTGAAAGCACGCAATGATGACAACTTAATGTTAAGATTGATTTTTCTCTGTTGTGCAATACTTGTTGCGTGTCTACAAGATTATCTTTGACTGTCATCTAGTCAAGACCCTTTAGAGTAGAAGAAGACCACACGGTGACATAGTCTCAGACCAATTTTAAATATTCATTTGCCATAAATATATTTGATTAAAATCATCGAAATATTAGTTTGAAGTATATAACCTAGTAAAGAGAACAGTTTTAATGTTATTGAACTTTTGTTCATCTCTTCAGCACTGTATAATATAATACCACTATTTACAATCATTTTACAGTTGATTATGTTCAGATGTATATTAGGATTTGAAAGTGTTTTATAATGAAAATATGTAAGAGCAGAATAAAATTTAGTTAGAACCGACTACTCGATACTTTCATAAGAGTTTTCAAAGATTAAAACTGCTTAGTGATTTGAATTAAGGTCAGTATCATTGATAAAACTTTATCAGAGAACAAAACGTCAATTTTTTAAAAGGCCAATTCTTTATGCTACCAAAGTGTGTTTGGAAACAGACATTAATTTTGTTTACAGTCGGTATCATAAAGATGATATATCTGTATAAAACTATTTAAATTTTTTTTTCTAATGAGAAAGAAATAAGTGAAATTTATTTTATACTATAATTATGTTCATGTTTACAAAAACCGAGAAGTAAGATAGAGAGGAAACATTCAATGGTACACTTAAGTGGTGTCTAGAGCAATTCAGTTTAGTAACTTTACTTCAAGAGTAATACCGCTTTTCCGCTCGAAACTTTTGACTTTAAAACTCGAATAACAACTTATTTGGATGCAAATCAAAATCATACATTAGACTTGAATTCCAAACAGTAACTGTTCATCTTAACAAAACATTTTCATTTGAACTGAGACTCTATGCTTAAGAACATACATTAGTTGTATTGTCCATACGTATGTACTTTATATTATAATGTTCCTTATTTTGTAAGTTATTGTAGAGGTTATTAGATAATTTATCATCAGAGATTTGCACAGGTTTACTGATTACTCTGTAATAAACAGAGACATTTGAAGATGTAATTGTACTGCACTTTCTCTATGTTTTATTGTTACATAAAGTATCTATATTGCTTGAGATATGGTAGTTACTTTACAAGATAAGAATATCCTTGTTCCAAAGTGTGTTTGGTAATTTACATTTTACAGACATTAATTTCGTTTACAGTCGGTATCAGAAAGATGGCATATCTGTATTAAACTATTTTAATTTTTTATGCAATGAGAAAGAAATAAGTGAAATTTATTTTATAATAATATGTTCATGTTTACAAAAACCACAGAGAAGTAAGATACAGAGGAAACATTCAATGGTACACTTAGGTATGTCTAGTACCATTTGTGTTGGTTTCTAGAGCAAATTATATTCGTCCTCCTCTTCTGCTTTCCTTTCACCCCTTCCCCATCACGTACTTACTACAGCTATCACGCGGTAGGAAGACCCTGTGCGCTTCAACAGCTGTACAAATATACTATTAGGCCATCACCGTTCGGGCTCTTCCTAGCTCAGTACTAGTACATTTCTCCCCAACCATACCAGAGCTAAAAGCGCACAGTTGTCCCATAAGCTTGTATCCTCTGAATTTTACTTCCCTGTGCAAAAACTAAAAAATTGGTAGCATTGCCAAAAGAGGGGTTTGGGTTACTACAAACTACAAAATATCATAACCATAAAATAAAGTGTTTCCTTATTTTAATAACAAAGTTTTAATACAGTGAACACTTGAAAGTCTGAATGAGATTAAATAAATCTAATACTGTAGTGAAAAAATATTGTTGGCGAGGCCAAAATCCACTTGGACATTGTGGCCACAGGAGTAAGAGTAAGAAATAGTATAGAAAATCTGTAGTATCACACACTATTTGAGTACCGTACTTCTTCATGTGATGAAACAAATTGTACAGAAAAAATGTGAATAGTGTACTGAACCAAAAACAATAGTAGTAAATTTATCAACATTTCATAATAAATATTGCCGCATTCCTATCTTAGCTGTATAAAATATTTAAAACCACAATCAAATGGCTAACCCTACTAAGGAAAATTTTTAGTAACAGGGTGGGGATTAATAAGGGTTTACTGTCGGTAAACCTGTTTGTAATGCCTTGACTACATTTTCAATGCTCTTTTTACTCATCATCCTAAACTTTCTGAGGTAAACCTCCCTAAGTGTAATTCATACCCCCAACGGTATTCCCCTAAATTCTATGTACTGTAATCCCCTTTTAACACAGTTTTGGCAATGCTTCTGATACATAGAGTAACAATAATTACCAAAGAACGTTTAAACAAAACAGAAAACCTGAGACAAAACCAAGTTTGACTGTAAATACTACTTCTCAGCAATATAGAAGCTAGTGACATGAAGGACCCAGAGGTTATAAAACCTCAGCTTCTTCTGTCACTAGCATCTCACTACATGGGATCAACAGTGTAATTGTTTAAGAATGAGCTTTAATGTCCCTTTTGTGAGGCAATGAAATGCAAATGGTGCACTCATGTATTCCAATAGTTAAACTTACTAGACTATTGTAATGTAAATTATTTAAATTGATCTATGAAATTGTTATTATTATTTGAAGTATCAAATTATAATTACTGTTAGCAAATGAAAATATGGAATTAAATGTTTCAGAATTATTGTGTGATTAATTCTCCTGTTTTGTTTTTGTTATATTTGTGATAACTTCACCTGAAGCTTTGTCATAAAGTATGATCGAGCGTTAATAGTCAATGTTTTGAGTACAGAAAATAAAAATTTAGAAGAGCTAATGTTGAAAGACAGTTATTGTCACCACTGATTTTAGATCAGAATGTACTTTCTATATCAGTAATTTTTTATTGAGTATACATTGACAAGCTTACTTACTGGAAGAAGCTGTCGTATCAAATTATAGCTCAACTGTTCAAGTGGTTTTTACAGGATGGACGGATGGACAGTAATTTAACTTAGAGTATTGATAAGAATAGTGTGGAATAGTAGTACACTTATTTAAAAATATAGTCTAAATATAAACACAGACAGTTTAATACAGGATGGGGCAAAACAACCAATCTATTTCCTGCAGGGCACTGTTCAGCGACAGGTCGTCTGAGAGTGGTGGGAGTAGGCTCGTTGAAAAGCCTACACAATGCCATTTTTTGTAGTCATAGAGCAGTGGTCGCCTGAGCTACGTGCTGTTGTTATGGAGCCCATTTTAAAAAGTATTGAATTCATTCATGGCAACTCAGCGGTTTCATGCATTCTTTTAAGTAAGGCGACATGGAGAAGTTCCGTTGCGTAGCACAATAATGGTTACTAACTTTATAAAAACGGCTTCTGCGTTGAAAATGAAGCTGACAGGCCGCCCAAAGTCAGATCAGATGCCAGACGACTAACATTGAATAGAGTTCGTGCTGCTGTGGAAGACAGTCCTCGTAGGCCCGCCGGACAACAAGCGGCTGCCCAACCATGTCTGACCGCTCAGTTACACAAATTTTGAGGTTAATTTTTACCCCAACAGATTAATTAGAATAATAATCTGTAAAAATTTTGTTAATTATCCATACAGAAAATCACAACGGAACCTCTCTATGTCGACCTAATAGAATAAAAGCACGGAACCGCCACTGAGTTGCAATGACTGATTCATTACTTAAAAAAACAGCTCAAAAACAACCGAGCGTAGCTCAGGCGACTACTGTTCTATGACTACAAAAAACGGCATTGTATAGGCTTTACAACGAGCCCCCACCCTCAGACGAAAACAGTGTTGTGGAGAAAATAGATCGGTTTTTTTGCCGCACCCTGTACATTAATAGAGGTACAGTCTCTCAGAGGTAACGGTAGTCAAAAGTGGTGTACCCCAGGGATCGGTTCTGGGCCCTTTTCTGTTCCTTGTTTTAATTAATGACCTTCCTGTAAATATTAGTTGTAACAAAGTCATATTTGCTGATGACACTACCTTTTTCTGTTCAGGTAACAATATTGCTGAGCTCTGTAACATTATGTCTGATGTGATGGCAGATGGCACAATCTGGTTTGAAGCAAATGGCCTCCTTTTGAATACCAATAAAACTCAACAAATATGTTTTTCCTTGTGCCAGTTTGATGTTCAATCTGATGTAGTTGTAGATTCTGTCGTTAAGCTCTTAGGTATTACTGTTGACACCAAACTTACATGGGATTCTCACATACAGAATGTTTGTACCAGACTATCTAGAGTGATTTCTCTTTTGTGGCATTTAAAGAAGCTGATCCCTAAAGTGTACCTGAAAAATGTGTATTATGCTTTGTTTAATGGAATAATTTCTTATGGCATTCGTCTGTGGGGGAATGGCCACAGTATTGATAAAGTCTTGCGCTTACAAAAAAAGGCGATGCGTATAATCACACACTCAGCTTTTAAAGCACACTGTAAACCACTCTTTGTCAGCGAAGGAATTTTGACAGTGATTAACCAGTATATTTATGTTTGCCTGTTGCATGTTAAGCAACATCTGCATGAGTATCCACTCAGAAGTAGTGTGCATGGTTATTGCACTAGAAGCATGTCCTCACTCAATCAGCCTTATGTTCGTTTGAGTAAATCACAATCCCAGCATCGCACTATGTACATTAATCTATTTAATAAGTTGCCTGTTTCTGCACATAATGTATCTTTCACTAAGTTTAAGTTGTCTGTTTACAATTGGTTGGTTGCAAGGCCATTTTACAAGCTCGATGAATTCTTTGTATTGCCTGTTGATATTCAATTTTAAATTCTGTCTGTCTGTTGATATAGCCAAGGGCTGAGTTGTTTTATAAGTTGTTTATCTGTCTGTTTGTTAGTATTGTCTTTAAATTTTATACTCTTTTCTTGCCCCTGCTATGTTTTTTTCTAACTTATTTTAAACACACTGCATTTATTGTATACACATTGTACCTGTTTTCATGTTTGCTCTAGTCTTTGCATACCTATGTTTTTTTTTTATAAACTTCAGTATTTTATTTTTAAGATGACTGTGATACTTTTTGCATGTACTCTGCACTTGTTTATATTTTATTGTCTATATTTATTTAGCCTTATTGCCTGTAAACTTTAGGCTACTATTATGACGTTCATCCATTGCATGTGTTGTACATAGCGTTAACGATGAATAAAAATTCTTGATTCTTGATTCTTGATTAGAAATAATTCAACTCATTATCAGCAAGAAAAAAGGAGACATTTACGTACAGCATGTAACTTTTTTTTTTTCGTGTTTTAAATCAAACAAAGTTACAGTTATACAAGATTATTTATTAATAAGGAAAAAACTTACAATTATACACTTTATACATATTTACAGAAAAACAAACCAATTTTTACTGTATCACAGACATAATTGTGGTAGTTTCTACCACTTTTTTTAACCAATGAGTGCCCATATATGATATAAAAATTAAAATTATAGTAATGTGAACAATGTTTTACTTACACTTGGGATGGCCAACAAAAATTTTTGAATAACTATATTGGATAGGCTTGAATAAATAACTGATTTCCAATTCAATCTTCCTGCAAAACATTATTTTTACAATATAGTCACAGGTCTGAAATAAAATCCGGGTTAAAACACTATATGTACAAGTGGTATTTACTTAGGAACATGATCACACAGTATACAAAATAAAGAAGGTGTTCTTGCTGCAGTACAATTTAGAAATAGTTATTCCTTTACTATCAGTTTCTTTATTGATTCTCTGGATTTGTTGTAATTTTTTTTTGTCTGTTATTCTGTATCTGAGTATATTTTGCTCCAGTCATTACTGTCCTCTGTTTTGTCACATACAAATGTGAAAATTACTCTCATATGCATGGCTTCGTCTGATACATAAAACTTGAGCGTGCACGGATAAATGCCATCTTCAGTAGTAATTAAATATAGGTACTATAGATTCAAAATCCAGCTATTTGAATGTTTATTCTCTTCTCATATCCACTTATGCCTGTGTGCTCCTTAGGATAGTAAAACATAGTAATTGTAGCTGATAAGGAATTTCCCAAATACAAAACTTTGGCATCATTCAGGGAAATTGTTTGCATATCATGATTTAAATAAACTACTGGGGGATTGTTTAGGATGAGATTCTCACAATTATATTACACTCACTGGAGACGGAGACTATCATTATGTTGCCGTGATCGTAAGAAACAGGTACTCAAACATGTTGTTGAGATTGTGGAAGATGATCTCTGTGAGAAGGTTTTAAGTTTTACAGTTGATTCAAAACAAAGAAAATGATTGTGCTCACCGATTTCCACAGTAGATTGATTTCTTAATATATGTATTTGAGACTCTAAATTCCTAGCGTTGACCATCAGTGTTTTCTAAAAGTCAGTAGTAACAGTCTTGACATTAATCATCCGCTTGGCGAGGCTGCTCTTGCCAATCCCGAGCTTGGGCATCCCCTTGTTGAGGCCCTCCAGCAGCGTACAAGCCTTACACACAGGCTGACTGGAGACAAACCCACACCTCGTACATGTACCTCTGTCTGGCAGTTTTACTCCCTCTCTCACAGCCAACCTCTCTCCTGCAACATACGGATATGTTGTAAATTTATTTTGTGTAAGGTACACAGAGCCACATTGAAAACCACAGCTTATTTAATTAGAAACTAGGTTAACAGGAACGGTAAGGAATGAAAAAGATCTTTATACCTGTGACATTGGCAAACATTAGATGCTTACAGATAATATATCAAGAACTTGGGTTAACAGGAACCTGAGGTAACTAGACTTTGGTTGACTAGAACCTGAGAAAACCAAAACTCTTGGCAAGGAGAAAATAGTTTTAACCTGCAACATTGTCAGACTGACTGGGGGTCATCGCCCTTCCACTGGTTTTGATAACCTGACCTTGAGTCATCTTTTAACTTCAAAAAGTGGGATTGAGCAAAATGTTACAAACAATATTTTCCAGTCAAATTAACCTATAAGTACCAAATAATGAACTGACTATATGGAAACTTAGTTTTTAAGAGTTATCAACCACCTCCATTATCAAAGTTAACTGCTTTACTATATCAATCAATTACCAACCATACTAAGTTTGAAAAATTGAGGTTTGAAGTGGCATGTGTGGATTAACCATTTGAGGGTCGTGCAATCTCGCTCCAAGACACTCCATTGTTTTGAGTGCCGATCGTTTGGTAACGAGACAGACGAGGTTGTGTGAGAAATACCAGCATCTTGGAATGAGAGGATCAGAAAATCACTTGTATAGTATCATATTATTAGTATCACAAAGCTTGCTACAAATCGCACCAAAGGCGGCAGAAGGAGTCTGGCAATTAATTACTATTTGTTAGACAAATGTGGTCAACCAAATCAACTGTTTATATATTTTTGTAGCCTATGTTTTTTTTTATGAAATGATAAGTTAATACCATGGTAATTTTGCAATGTTAGATGGAGATGGACAATGAAATTGATTAGAACGTGTTGGAGGACGAGACTCTCAGTTGATGTGTCAGTTTACACAAATCTGGTTTGTAAAACTCTGAGAGCTGGTCAAAAATAAAACTGCCAAAATCTTCAATTTTGAATCTTTTGAATCTCGAAACTTGGTGATCGAATCTCGAAACCGAAACTTTTCCTAAGTTTTGATGGTTTTGAGATTTGAGATTCGGTTTTGTTTTGACACATCACTACTTTACTATAACATATTCTCTATATCCTGTGCACAGTAACTCAAGTAAACAATTTACTAGTAGCCTACTTTAATAGTGTGCTTAACTAGCCAACATATTTTGAAAGAATATTTTTTACTTAGTTCCTACACTCACCAGAATGTATTATGTCCATTATAGCGGAAGGCCGAATCATTTCTAAATCCTTTAGGAACGCTCTGGCATGTCCCCTATAGGCGTTAGGCGCAAACACACACTCTGTTGAGAAGTACACTAGCTTCTTGAAGTAGGCGTACATTACTATTTCCTTTTCATAAGTGTACTTCAATGGTTTCACCCTAGGGATAGCTCCTTCACTTGCCTGAAATGGTTCATCATTACATTCACGCAAGGAAAAATTATGAACTTAACAATATGAAATCATTCACTAAACCATTGACTTAAGATACTGCAAGTAGACATCTCATTTACGTGAACCAGATGTACCATGGAATTTGGATACTGCAGGAGAAAACATTTCATTTACGTGAACAAAGAGAAATAACTCCCCTAAAAGTAACTTCTCTGTGATGTCAGAACTAGGATGATTAATTGATTAAACATTAAAGAGAGGATATGCCGGAGTTTTCACAGTCCATCTAAATCCAAGTGTTAAAGTACTTCATAATGTCATGTAGGGTATGTAAACTGAAGCCCTAGGCTACTTCTACTCTAATGTATGAGTAGACTACTACGTAATAACGTTTAGACAATAGCATAGCCTATGTAGTGTATATAAGTTAAACCAAAGCCAAAAGCTACTGTTATTCTATTGTATGAGCACACTATTCTAATATTCATATTCTAAACTTACAAATGAAATAAACTTAGTTTCAAATGAAAATACTTTTTTAAATAGCCTAACTTCTTTTTAACAAAACACAGATTTACACAGGTTATAACACGGATTTAAAAAACTGAATGGGTGGAAAAACTTATTTGGGACAGTTCCAAAAATAATTTATGACTTCCGTTTATAGAATTTGTTTTTGGTGTAGAGAGAAGACTTTGAGATTTGACTGTTAATCATTGTAGCTTTACTTTTCGTGACTGATGCTACAGTATAAAACCATTAAAAAAACCCCACCTGTTTATTAAAGTATTTTTTTAATTAGTACTTACCGGTAAATAGCTAAATTTTGAGCTCACACAATATGGACCTCACTAACATCCCACTCACAATCGACAAGTAACTGGCGATCGACCTGCCATAAAATGGCTAGAAACTTAAATTACGAACCTTGCAAACAGCGCGACTAAACGTGTGGAGACCAAGTTTTATAGCGTTACATATCATTTTACAGATTATTTATGGTGTAATACTCATGTTTACACATTAGGATACATTGTTTCAATAAATAATATAAGCAACTAAAGTTTATTGTTTAACATCAAATTAGAACAAACAGATTTTTGAGTGGATCAAGACCATACTGAGGATGTGCGACCGGCGCTACAATTCTGGAAGTTATATTTTGATTTTCAAAATAAGATACCCAGTTACAAAGAACAGAGTATTTTGCCCTGTTTTCAATTAAAAACAAATAGTTGAAAGCAGACTTAATTAATTTCTCGAACAAGAACAGTGATTGTCCCGGAAATGTTTTTTCACCCTTATACTATTCTGGTACGTGTTAATTATTTGCATTAGCCAAGCATAAATTCTTATGAAGATGACTAGCAATAAAAGTAAACAATAATCAATGCAGCCACAAGTAATTACTCATGATACAATGGGAGTAATGGAGCTTAGATTAATAACTGTCATTTTATGAGTTATTGTTTCGAATACATTGCTGAAAACTGTCAAATTACAGTGTTACAACTGCAGCAATGCAAAAATCATTCAATAGTGCAATGGTTCAACATTTATTTTTTTCTAGTATTTTGTTTCTTGTGCTGTACATCAGTGTAGGATACAGTAGAGACCATAATAGTCCGTACACTTTACATAACGATGATCAAATGATGGATGCAGGATACAGTCATACCCAAAATTATGCTCCAAGTCATCAGACACCCGTACATGGCAACAATCGAAGAATGAATACAGGTTACAAATCTAACCGCATTCACCCTTTGGATCATGGTATACCTGTGAAAAGCTCCGATCAAACTATGTCCACAGGATATAACCAAAATGATATACTAGTCCAACAAGAGACAAATGAACAGATTCCAGTACAAGTCTACGATCAAACAATGGAGATGGGGTATGATCAAGATCAACTTCAAAATGGAAATCAACAAACCAAGGACATGCGCCAGAAGTTAGATAGTATAACTGACCAACTGAATGAAGACCTTGCACAAATGAAAACTAATGTGAGCAAAATGTGTGACAACTATTTACAGCAACAACAGATTGCTGCATATTTACTTTGTAGTATCTACAGCAAAAGCTTAGGATTGGTAGGTGCCATTGCACAGAAGATTTTGTAAAAAAAATTATAGAATCATAAGTTTAAAATAAAGAAACTATTTACCAAACACAAATTTTCATTCCTAGTGGCCTAAAACTGATGAACTAAAAGAGTATTATTATTTTTTAAATAATAAGTTAGTAACTTATTAAAATAATACGTTACTAACTTATTTAAATAACTTACTAGCTTATTTAAATAATATGTAATTTAATCAGCTTACATAGCTGATTTGAATTTACGGGGTTATTCTAAATGATGGACCCATTTTTAATGCTTTATAATTTTTATACTATTAAACTTACCGCTATAAAATACACATCAAACGAAAAAGCAACTCAAAGAGTTTATGCCTTCCAAAGACACATCATTTAACAAAATCGATCCAACAGAACTGTAGATTTAATTGTACAAAGTTAAAAATAAATCTCCAACTTTTTTTACCACTAGAAATTTGGAGGTTACTTGACGTTTTTGCAAATAACTTTTAAATGGTGAGGAAATCGACCAAAGTGGAAGGTAATATTCCGAAAGAGAATAAAATTCCCTACAATATACTATTACACATATCTTGAAAATACTCAATAAATGTAGCCTAAATTTGGCTTAAAATAAAAAAGTGTGAAATTTAATGTTTGCTATGTTTATTGTCTACATTGAAGACGGGGATTTTAAATTTTTTTCATGTTGAGGCAATTTTTGGTACCTTTCTTGAGTATTTTCAAAAAATGCCTAATAGTAGATTGTAGGAAATTTTATTCTCTTTCGGAATAATACCTTCCACTTTGGTCGATTTCCTCACCATTTAAAAGTTATTTGCAAAAACGTCAAGTATCCTCCAAATTTCTAGTGGTAAAGAAAGTTGGAGATTACTTTTTAACTTTGTACAGTTAAATCTACAGTTCTGTTGGATCGATTTTGTTAAATGATGTGTCTTTGGAAGGCGTAAACTCTTTGAGTTGCTTTTTCGTTTGATGTGTATTTTATAGTGGTAAGTTTAATAGTTTAAAACTTATAAAGCGTTAAAACTGGGTCATTCATTTTGAATAACCCTGTATTATCAAATATTTTCAAACACGAAAATTGATTGTTTCTCTCATTTAAATGTTGAATTTCTCTTAAGCAAGGCATTAATTACAAATAGTTAAATTTGGTTAGAAATGACATTAGAATAATTAATTATGCTTTTAAGAACAGTATTTATCTAGGACTATCAAGATAATTTAGCACGTTTAAACCATTGCACCCATTAAGTGAGTTTTTGACTCCAAGATGTGTTGGTGGGGAAAACTAACAACTAACACTAGTAGGCCTACTAGGGAACTAGTAAGCCAGGGAACTATCTAGACTATTAGTATGTAAACATATCAGGATTATTGTGGGTTTGTAGCAGCCGATAGCAACCAATAGCTTTGGTGTGTACTACTTTCTACATACTACACCAACTCATCAACCTTGGCTTGACTTAAAAAGCTACACAGAAAGCTAAATAACCTCTTAACCGCGACACACGTGTTATTCCGTGGTGGTATTCTGTAGACGCTAATTGCGACGCACGGAATATCACGTGCAACACCCTTGTGGCGTTAACCACGAAGCTCGAGTTTAGACGGTTTTGACGTACTCAGCATTGACATTGACCCTGAGAGTTGACAGACCATTTGGTGCTGCACTCAAGTGTATCTTTCTGGAACTACGTCTACGCCACGTGTTCTGCAGTATCAAAGGTCGGGCTTGATAGTTGTTTTTGTCTCGTTGAGATGATAATCTCGCGTCATTGTTAGTACGTTGATAATACAGTAATTAGTATAGTAGTTCTGATCTGTTTATGAATTTGCATTTGAACAAAACTAATGCTTGTGGTACAGTAAGATGGGTGCGAATTGGTATGTCTGAATTGCAGAAAGAGTTACAAGCTGGCGAACAGGAGGTTGTCAATGTTGGAACAATCATGGTTGTAAGGTGGGTAGATAAAAGAGAGATGATCACATCACAACATGATGATAAAGTAGTTATTTATTTATTTATTTATTTGAAACAAATTGAACACACGTTTTTACATATCATTTTACACCATGCTGCAAAAGCCTGACATGGCTTGTCTGCAGCTCATTAAACTAAAGGGAAATAAGTTGACTCCGGAAAAGTGAACTACGTTATAAACCCGTAAGTAAATAGGATCAAGAAATATTTTATTATTTATTTATTAGTTTATTATTATTAATTACTAGCTGCTGGACCCGTGCTTCACAACAAAAAGATGTACTATTTCGCCTGATCCAAACACTTGTTAAGGGTGTGCTCTACCTGTCCGCCGCACGCTAATGCAACGGTTTAGGATCTCCGTCATTGTCGGCTTGGTTCTTCACCGATTGAAAATATATTTATGTTCATTTATTCATTTCTAATTTATGTAGGCTTGTGTCGTTTTAAATTTTTGGTAATAGTCAAATTTTAAGTGGGAATTATTCTGGTAAATACCTCTAAATACGCTTTTTTCTAAAGCATTTAATACACATACAAATGAATTTTTAGAAGAAAATTAAAACGATAGAGTCATAAATTTGAATCTAAGGAGTTAGGAACCTTCTTCAGATGAAAAACATACAGTAAACACCCTCTTATCCGGAAATCTTTTTTACCGGACATCGGTTTAACCGGACTACACTTGGCGGAAATGACATCTCTTTAACCGGACAATTTTTATCAGCACATTGGTTTAACCGGACTAGATCGGCAGGAAGTGGGCAGTACTGAAACAACTGTTCTCGTGGGAAAGATTTGAGACTAGTGATCACGTGTCTAAGTACAATCATAGATAAATCATACTCCCTTAGTAGATTTGTCATCCTTATGGAACAGCTGAAGCTAATTTTATTGTTTGTTCTGTACGTCCAACTGTATAGGTTATGTTTTGTTTACAATTTTTTTCTTGTTATTTCAGTCATTTAAAACATAATTTAACTAAATAAAACGATTTCATCATACACAATAACTGGTCTCCTAGTTATATAACCAAATAGTAAAGCATAAATCATGAAAATAACCCTAAAATAATAGAAACAAAATGTTGTCTACCCCAGCGATCAGTGTGGACGTACATGAACTAGACACAAAAAACAAGCTTCAAAATTTACAATGGGATGAGGAGTCTACTTGTGTTGCTTAGTCTATGGTACAATGCTCTTCTAAATTTAAGTCGAATATCACAGTTAACTGGCCGTTTAAAAGAGTTTTTGGGGACGTCAGTTTAACCGAGGAACCCGTTATCCGGACTGGCCTCGATCCCGAGGAGTCCGGATAAGAGGGAGTCTATTGTAGCTACTGAGGCCCGAGTTGAGATTTCTGAGCTGAGGTAGAGCACACCAATAATTCGGAATTTCGATGCATCGCACACCCCTAATCCTAAACAAAGTCAATGATGAACTCACAGTTATGATGGCCGTGCACCTCTGGAGCCGAGCGATGTCTCCTCTCAGAATGTTCATGAGGACAGTCTCTGCCAGGTCATCAGCGTTGTGACCAGTGGCTACTGAGTCCACACCTAACAGAGCAGCCCCACGGTCTAGTGCCTGGCGTCTGAACACACCACAGAACGTGCAATTGTTCTTACGACCAATCTGGAAAATTTAGAACCAACATTAAAATTTTATGGTGAGGAAATGTTTACGCTGGTAATCAAGTTGGCAGGACTAGGTCGGAGATGGGATTGGGAAGATTGGTGAGGAAGCAACGGATCAGGAAATCTGGAAACAATGTGAACACAACCAACAACAAGTAGCCTACGACTTTGGTTACGGAAAATAGATATAAGCATATATTATAAGTAAAACAGGTATTCTTCTTGGGTAGGTCATCAAAGTCTAAAATTAAATTAAAATAAATTAAAAAAGATTACAAAAAAAATTATTTTTTTAGTAAACTTGATTTGCAATTTACAATATTAATCCAGACACTAAATGACCCTACTATTATTAAGTTCAATTAATTCCCTACATAGAAAAATCACAAGTTGTTTAGCCTACTTTTATATAAGTAGGCTAATAACATAGAAAAAAATTTGTTTTACCTTACCGCAGCTGTTTTTGGGAGATATCTGGTTTCCATTGCAAAACAACATTGTTTGTTATTCGCAAAAATTAATGAGTAAATACGCAAAAGGATAATAATCATGCGTATGTAAAACACTGTCTGTTAGCCCAACAATGGAGCCTAAGACGCCAAAAAATAAAATAGACATGCTACTCTTTATCATACATTACTCACCTGAGCAACTATTTTATCCATCGTCCAACCGTACAGCTCTTCGTAAGACAGAATCTTCAATGGCATCTCATAGTCGTCTCTATTTTGTTTAACTGTGTCCAAGCTGTCATCTCTATAACCTAAGTATTAAAAAGTTTATTTGGCTTTTTTGATACGGAAGAATTCTACAATTTCAAAAATATTGCAGTTATCTAGAAGTTGTTTAGTTTTAAAAAGCTGAAAAGTCCAGCGTGCATTTCACATCCATGACTAATACAAATTTAAGGACAATTTCATGATTTTTCTATTCTCGCAAACATCTTGACACAATAAGTCTCAAAAATATTTTGGTGGAGGGAAAAGATGGAACTCGAGTTGGTGGAAGGATCCATTGACTATTGAATAGTCAAAGGTTGAACCATAGACAAAAAGAATTGAAATATAGACTGTCAGCCGTGCTGCGGTTACCATGGTTACCATAGGTTCTGGCGCACACCGCTGGGAGCGCCATGAAGTTACGTATCGTGTACACCGTAACTACATGGCGCTCACAGCGGTATGCACCAGAACCTATGGTAACCGCAGCACAGCTGACGGTCTATATTTAATTATCATTTATGGTTGAACCTAATCTTTTATGAAATTGTGTTACAAGCAGTTAATTTTATCCCTTGGTCTGTAAATACATTTTTTCTCTTGTACTTTGTTTAACAGATGTTATTAGTTAACACATGTTATATTCATTATTAATTTTGTAAACAGTTTCAATAATTCAATACACATTTTTTGTTTACATCACAGTGTTTTTCATTTAATTAAATATATATTAATATTAGTATGTACATTTTTTTTTATCAAATAATTATTTAAAGAAGTTCAATTCACCACAAAACAAACGTTCATGGTCCTTCGAGCCATTGGATTTCACTACAGTTCATTCATTACAGTTCATCACAGTTTTAAGTTTTAATTTTTATTTAAAATTTAACAAACAATTATTGCAGAAATTAGGCTTCTCCAAAACAAGAGAGCTTCAATCAAAGGCTCTCTCTCGAAAATGAAGTGTCTATCCTGGAAAAATTGGATGCTGGACATATCAACTACAACAAGAGATGGAGGCTCATTCAACAAATGATTAAATGAAAAATTCATTTTGGACTAGATTGCAAAAGGAGTACTATCTTCCTTCATACTCTTCAACAGAGGCACAAATGGAAATTCAAAGACAGTAATATCAAAGAAAGTGAGGTTGTTTTAGTCAAAGAAGACAATATGCCACCAATGAAGTAGGCTAGGCTACACCATGAGGTGAATAGTGAAAACATTTCCTGGACTTGACAATATTGTAAGGGTTGTAGAGGTGCAAACTCAAAATGGAATAATAAAAAGACCAATCAACAAGTTGTTAAAAGTTCCCACCTAATCACTTTTTTGCAGGGGCGTTATGTTAAAAGCAGTTAATTTTATCCCTTGGTCTGTAATACCTAGTATATTACGTTACTAGTGTTGAAAATAGGTGTTTACCGGACGAGTGTGGTTGTTTCCTTGTTCAAAAGTAGGCCTAGGTACATTTCCACACCACAATAACAGAGCTGAAGGGAACGGTTATGGTTGTCGTAAGCCCCTTATAGGCCTATGAAGTAGCCTGGTTGAGACAAAACAGACTGTAAGTCTTAAATAAACTTAACTTAAGGCTTACCTGTGATTCCTTCATCCACAGACAACAACACCAAGTTAAGACCATATTGGTGTTTTTCGTTTAATGTTTTCAAGACGTAAGCCAAAACGGTGGAATCCTTGCCGCCAGAAGCTGCGATGGCAACAGTTTGACCCTTTTGGAAAAGCTTTCCCTCCACAATAGTGTGATGTATTTCAGTTTCAAAAGCCCAGAAGAAACACTCCTTGCACATAGCATCACCAGTCTTGGGCCTCTGTAAGTTAAGTTACATACAGTATTTTTAAAGAACTTTAGTTTAGTTTAAGTCTGATTTTTCCACAGTAATTTATCTTAGCGATAGGAACTTTCGTATTATGCGGAGGCCACCCTTATACAGAGCGCTGCGGCGGTTATGTTAGGTTGAGTTACCGTACTGTAAATATGTTTGTAGAACTTTCCTCGTTTTGTTATGAATCAAACGATACCAGATGAGTCATACTTTCGCCCACCAAATCCCCTCCAAGTAGGCTTGGGTCAGGACGTTGACCGGAGCTAAGTATACCTACTTGGCGGAGTACATGTGGCAGCTAGCGACGGTGACGCATTCAACTCAATCCTCGCCGACATCGCTGCCTTCTGGGAGGCAGACCTCAAAGGCCGCTAATCGTAATGATGTCAAGTTTGGACAGTAATTCAATTAAAGAAGGCTATGTTCTTTTCAATTAAGTTCCGTTATTTTTGGTCTCCAGTAAAAAAATCCTTCTAAAATAAGTGGCCTCTGTATAGGCCTAATACGAAAGTACCTAACTTAGCGATATTTACAACTGAGCTATCAATTGGACTTGTTTTATAACGAATTATTATAATTAACTTAAAAGTCAATATTGCTGGCAATCTACTTCTCTTCCTTCATCTTGAAAGTGTTTTAAGGAGGGATATCAAAGTTTTGTTTACATCTTGCCAAAACTTTAACAGCCAACTCCATTGTATTTTGGGCCTATCGATTGTTAGGCTTCAAACAATATTGAAGATTGCTTAGGCTAAGTTTGGTACCGGTACCTGATTGATTGATTGAATCGATAGGTCTACTTTAATGTTCAATGGATTCAATTTAGTAAAAAGTATTTTAGAACATTTGAGGCTGTAGGCCTAGTTAAAAGCTAATAAGCTCAAGAATACAGGTTATACAGAACATAAGTTAAGTTTGAACATTTCTAAGCAGTTTGTAGGTCTCTAAATTTGTAGGCTTTGAAGGCGAGCACTAGCCTATAACCTCCAGACTACCAGCTAAACCAAACCAGGTAAGCTACCCAGAAAACCATTACCTTTGACAAGGTTTCTAGGTTAAAGTTATAGACATTTACCTACCAAAGTTATACCAAGACTGGATTGTATTAAATATATAAGATTAATATGCATTAACAAACCTTTAAAATCGCATTTTTACCACACTTTGTGCTGCAAGGAACAGGCATGGTTCTTCCTGATTTGTTGACAATCTGATCACTCACTTTTCTAAAATGTTTGTTTATGACTTATTCCATTCAAATTTATTAAAATTCCATAACGACAGACTTAAAGTACAACAACGCTTGTCCTTCACTTTATTTCATAAGGCACAAGTTTCGAATTAACAACTAAATTATCCACAAAACAAAACACATTATATGGACACTGGCTTATAGGTTATGCTTATCTTATGACGCAAGCTTTTTCAGAGCAGACATCACTTTCAAACTCCTCGGTCTGTAGACAGACCAGTATGGAATTCAGCAAGACAGACACGTTGGAAAATGTTAAAACAAAATTCTCTTAAACAAAATTCCTATGATACCGAAACTTCAATAAATTACACCATTAGATTGATATCGGTCAACTCACTAGTAAGTACAGTAGCGTAAAAGCTTATTTCTAATACCGTATTGAAGGGGGATTTAAACATAAACATGTAACTGGAATCTATGTCTGTCGATCATTTACTAATAACATGTTCGATTTAGTTTTTCTTCTTGAATATGAATTAATATTACCATAGATAAAACATACAGGAGTATGTTTTATCTATGATATTACTTAGGTACTTACTTTCCGTGTCCGGAAATCAGACTTCGCTTTTCCAAAAATTAGCTACCGATATGGCTTTGTCATTCGCTTGTAAAAGATCATCTAATGTGCAAGACTGGTCTAGGCATGGACAGATCAGCAGATGGCCAGGATCCTGAACGAACAGCACCACACGCACACAAGATGTTTTCTTCATCTGGTAAGAGACCCCACTTCTGCATGTTTGTCTTGCATTTTGGTACCTCGACCCTAATTCGATTTAGGGTCTTCCACACCGTGTAATGAAGGCCTCCACCAGGAGCCAGTTCCTCCCTGGCTGGTATGGGAGGGTTAGTCAACGTGGCCTCCCACCTTGCCACCCGATTGCTTGAGAGTGGAGTGATCCATCCAGAACTCGTGTCTGTGATAGAAAGCTCTTTCTGGATCGAAGCCGTCGCTCTGCAGGTTGGTGGCCGTGTAATGGGTGAAGAGGGTCCGTCTCTTGCTTAGTCCTTTTTACGTCGGCAGCGACATAACGTCGGATTGATGGAGAGGCGATCCCTATGATATGATAGAGTTTGTGTACTCGTACTGGGGTTGGTTTCAAACACCCAGTTACAAGCCGAGCCATGTCATTGGTTGCAATGTCAACCTTTTTTGCATGTGACGATGCATTCCATACTGGTGTAGCGTACTAGTTGCACCAGTATGGAATGCATCGTCACATGAAAAAAAAGTAATATTGACTGGATAATAATATTTAATATCCAGTGATTGTAGGGACAAAATAGCCCTTGTGTTCACTCCACAATTCATTATTTCATCATTTGTACGGATGTGGTTTTATGTCTTTCTATCAATTTAATGGATTGATGATTTTTTCTCTCTAGTGGGGCTACTACTGTTTTAGCTCCCAGCTTGCATGCAACGATACACAACAAAGTGCATGAAAGCATTGTCAATCAGGCGATTGTTGACATGTTAACTCTAGGGTGTTTGCATCATGTGTCCGCGACCACGTGCACGTATTCTATTTAATAAATAGGGCTAATATTGTAGCTTTCGCCTCCCGTTAACTCTCATTAGAAAAATTTACTTTTTGATAAAACTTGGGGTTCGAGTACTTTCAACACTGTAAACTTCCCAAACAGATGAATTTGAAAATAGTGTTTTAACATGAGTTCAACGCAAACTTCAGTGGAACTACTTAATTAAATTGATGTCTTAAAACAAACCCTAAATTCACAAATCAAAATCAAAGGCACTAGCCTATTTGTATTCATGTGCAATGTTACATGTCAATTATAGCCTATTCATTACATTCATTCATTTTAGTTATATATTTTTCTTTCTTTGATTGTACCAAAATTTGCCATTCAGCCAACTAAAACCTCAGAAAATGTATTGTAAATATAAATTATATTATCCTTTAATCACCCCTCAGAAACCATCATCAAATTTTAAAATATGTATATATCCAACAAACGTTATTGTTAATAAAAGCGTGTAACTTTGTAATGTGTAGTCCATAGTTGCAAAAACACTTTTTCCAAGATTATTAATACTAGTGTACCTGTTGCTCGAATTCGAGCAATTGCGAAGCATTACAGGCGTTATTTTAAAACGAATAACAGTCATAATTTCCGATGACTTGATAAGAGTCGACTCAAAGATTATGGAAATACTCAAGATGTACACAGCAGTTAGATATAAGTTCTACACTAAGTTCTATTCTAAGTTCTACACTCATAGCCGCATTAGGTTGTCTATAATAACGATTATAAATGGGGGAAAAACATTATTTCTATTTCTTCTACTGTACTTGGTTGTGTTCTATGACTTTCCTGTTTCCATTGTTTGCAAATCGGCTCTTTCAATTATTGCTCAAGAAATGTAGCACAGTGTTAATTCAGTTTTATTTTTAGTATATCAAATTGTCCAGTATTTCTCACTTTTTTCCATGGTAATTTTAAAAATTACACCAACCAAGTATCGTCTACTACAGATGAATTACGCCAAAGAATATCGTCTACGTGCATTCTCCAAGAAGTGGTAAAAAAGGCAGAAACCAGCCCATACAATTGATATAAGTTAACTCCATAAGACATATTTTTAAGAGTTACTGTGATATTAGGATTTTCCACTGATTTGGTAATAGAACATTATATTGCAAAACATGGCACGATTCAGAAGAAAATCGATTTTAAAATCAGAAAAAATACTTCATTTTGACAAATTTAGTAAATCACAATTTAAATATTAACAGCTGTTTCATTCAAAAGTAGTGTAAATGTATGCATATGGTCGTAATGTAAACAAATCTGAAGAGGGAACTTAAAAAGGCCTCTGGGCCAGAGCCCCAAGGGAATTTACCTCGTTTCTCTTTTGATGGCTCATCTACAGACCAAGACCTTTCTTTAGAGACCCCTACCGAGTTTCTACACCCAGCCGTTCTCTCAAATTAGCTGTTACAAAGAAAAACAGTTTCAAATTAATATATAGATAGTATAAATTTATCCTAAAACCTCAACAATAAATAATTTTCCAAAATCCTAAAATATAAGTGAAAGTGATTTTACTGTACCTATCAAGAAAGAAGACAGCTGGCTACAACAATGAACAAATGAACCTCTTGTGTGAAATTTAAAAAAATCCTTCTCTTAGACATGGCAGCTTACACACCTTAAATTTACTCAGTGAGGGTATAATCCCTAAATTAAATATTTTAAAAGTAAAAGTGATATAAAAGTAATTAACACTAGCAACAAGAGTAGCCTTTATATACTTTTTATTTTAATTTTGTCACATCAAGATTTTTATTAAGTTAACTTGCCTTGCCACTGTGAAGAACAAACCTGATGAGAACTCTCCATTTTGTGAATATTAGGCCTATCCTACTTGAAGAAATTTAACTTATCAAAGATATATTTTATTTTTAATCTGATCAACCCAAATAACAATTAAAAAACTATATCTCTATATCATAAAGAATAAATTCAGAAAAATAATTTGAACAAAAGATAACTAAATTCAACCTTAGGTAACTTTTAACACCTATTCAATTCATTGTTGGACTATTTACCTACCTATCCAGGCCTAAGTGCAATACAAATTAACAATCCCCATTTTTAATAATCGGCATATGTTATTGAATACCTATTTATAAATATTTGAAGATATTTTGAGTCAGCCGAATTCCCCTCCCTGAGAATATCTGTAATTGAATTATTGTATTTGTAAACTCATTGTTCTGTTCTGAGCTAAACAAAAGATGGCAACCCTGTATTTGTACCCCATTCGTTCATTATTAATAAACTTGTATTGTAAAGGAATCCTTCAGATTTGTCATTTATCTTTTTATATATTTTAATAATGCCTAACATAATCTCACAACAGATACTTAAATAGTAAAGGTACGGACCTGAATAGAGAATCCTTTTATACTTTACTGGACCAAATTCCAAAGGCACTACCACTAACAATTTTGTTTAACACTGTGCAGTTGACCAACTGGATATTGACAGATATTATTTTCACAACACAGGCTAGAATAATAAGTACTTAGTAGGCTACCATAACAACATACGCAGTGTTTTCTTTAACATAATGGTATATTGCCATATTAGATCCACTAGGAAGAGTCGTCGAATGGCAGCAATTTACTCAGTGGCCCTTTGTTTATTTTATTAGGTTTCACAACGCTAGCTGCTTCTAGACGGATCGTTTGTCATTCTCCTATTTTAAACTTCAATAAGTAATTACGCACGTTCACCTCAGTCCAAGCTGTTCTAGTGCGAGAGGTTCATTTCACATAGGAATGATCTCACTATGATGGGTTCAATGAATCTGAAAAGACTGCTAATATAAGACGAAAGTATGCCACCCTGAAAAATTAGAGAGAAAACGCAGTCCCTTCGGGCAGCGATTTGCGATGATAATGTTTGTGACTTCAAATTCCTTACTACAGAAGAAACTAGGCATTACGAATAAATAGCTGAGAAATTGATAGTAATATTTTAATTTTGTTATAGTACCTCGTGGCACCCTTTATATTTATATTGAATCCTGTCGGAGTTAACTATACTTCTTTTAGACCTTACAATTCCTTCTATTGCATGAAACTGTGATGAAAATTAATCTGTCTATTAGAACGGTTTTAAGTCACTAGATAATTTTGTCAACACAGCAATCAAAAATACAAGCTAAAAATGTATCCTGGGCTAAGAAAAGCCTCCACAACTTTCATTTACTGAGTATAATAACATGTAAAAATGTATCTGGCCATATCTGGTCAAGAAGTGCTAACCATATAGAATAATATGCTTTTGAATTATGTAGTGATAGCGATGCAAATGAATAGCAACTAGCTTTGGCCAAAGAACAACCCTCAGTCAAGTTCCAGAGGCGTGTATTCCCAGCTAGCCTTGGCCGTGGTCAGCACCTCTTGGTACGTACCAAGGACAGAATCTCAACTAGCCTCTACCAATGACAACCCTGGTACTCGCAGCTATAGACTCGATCGTGTAACTACCCTCTAGTACGTTGTAGGGACCGTGTAATCGCGGTTCATCGCCTCCCTCAATAAATACCAGTTAAGTGAGTGTTGTTGCGGTAACGATTCGCCGCCGGTAACGTCC